ATTGCTTTGAATATATATATATATATATATATATAGATATAAGCTATATATGTAAAGGGTTTTAAAAATCAGGAAACAAGCTCTTTAACATGATTTATATCAAAATGTGCCTTAATGTTTGTGTGATGTGCATTCATGAATAAATTACATGTTCACCATGTCGATTTAATACTTAAACCTCATGCAAATGTTTTATATTATAAAATCTTACAAAAGGGTTTCATCATGTTACCATGATTGGTATGTTGGAAATGGATTTGAAATGAGCTTTTGAGAACCCAACTTGATTTTTAAATGGTTTTACCAAACTGAAAGATTTGAAGAGTAGGCCCAATGTCACATAAGGATAGTGTGACTCTTTTGTGCAAGGGAGCTCTAGTTAAAGAACTTTTGGGTTACCGACAGGCTGTTAGACGTGGCTGGGACCATGGTCTATCATATATATGGCTAGGCCACAAGATGATATACGTGGTTACGAGCACATGATTTCTCCGATGTCCCAACATAGTCGAGATTGCCATGGCTATGGGAATATGGTAGAGTGAGGCTCCCAGATTGTTATTACATGGAAGCAAGTCCACGAGTTGATTATTTACGATTACCTACTCGAGAGTGGTGTCTCTTTAGGTTTTAAAAAATGACTTCTTTCGCATGGTGAGAAATACAAAGCTTTTCGTAGCTCTTTATTTATACGATGATTTTGTGTTTAATACCTCGAAGATGAGATGATTTATGAGCTTTTGTAAAAGCTTTGATAATGTTTGACTTCATGGGAGCATTCGTACTTATGTTAGTTCAATTTTAAGTAAAGGACATTAAATGCTTTCGATGATAGAATTCTCTCACTCACACTACCTTTGATAAAATGATTGTTAAATGATTACTTTGCATTAAAATTCTTGGTTTTATATGTAAGACACAAATGTTCCATTTGCTTTAAAATGTTTTATATATTCATATGATTTTAATATTCAAATTATCTATCCTTGGCTTGTTTTCCATCTACGCCCTGCTCACGAAGTAGATGATCACTAAGTTTGTGAGACTCACCCCCCTTCTCTCCCATTTGCAAATAGTAATCGGCCTAGCGTGCAATTATCGGCACTTATGGTCCATCGTGGATAGGTAAAGGTATCTCATAGCACTTTATTCTGACTCACTCTACTGCTAGTGGTTAAGTCGTTTGTAGTGCATTTATTTTTGTAAATAGACATTAGTCTCAATACAACTGTACAGTTTGAAATTATACATTTGGATGTAGTTTTACAATTTTGTGGAATAAAGGTTAAGTTGATTTATTATGACTATTATTCAATACGATATTGTAAAGAGTTATTCGGTACAAGGGATTACATAGATTGATGAATAAATATAATGAATTAATGAGAGTATCTAATAAGGCTTGTTCAAGACTTGGCGAGTTCTTCTGCAAGTCTCGGATGCCAATAATGATAAGGTAGAGGGCCATTACATATGCATAGACTAGGACATCTAGAGGCTATGATGAACCACTAAGAGTAGATTACCCTAGGTGACTGATATGTTCACATGAATTGATTGAATCATGCCTTAGGACTCAGAGGCTCTTAAAACTTAGTCGAGCTTAAGACGATTGAAATTTGACAAATGTGATTTATGGTTTGAAAAGGAAAGATGTGAATGATAAAGGCATGATGGCCTTATTTGTGGACTTGTGTTCCATTCAGGGAATGAATTTTTGACGTTGATCTAATTTGTGGTTGGGTTGATTTCTAGCCCTCTGTGACTATTTGTGTGCCTGCAAGGATGGTGGCACTAATCTCATGTATGATTCTGGCCTGTGGTGCTTTGATGCCATTCGTTGAGATTACTCTGAGTGATGCCAAAGTCAAGAGTTTGCTCTAGTCGATGGTTTGTTCTCCGCTAGCTGCTTTGGTGCTATGTGTGATCTGTTCTCCCCTCATTGCTTCGACACATGCGTGATCTATTTCTCCATTAGTGGCTTTGTCCTAAGTGTGATTTTTGTCTCTGTCAGTTGTTCACTGTGCATGATCTCACTATGTCCATGTAACGACTGCTTCTTGATCTCTACTTGCGTTTAAGTCTTGTGGGAGAACCCGTCAAGTCCCAAACAAGCCTTAATTGAAACTTTTGTTAATACGTTCTATTCATTTCACCAATATATGTAATTGCTTTGAACCATATAACTCTTTGTAATATGATTTAAATAGAAGTCATTGTAAATCGACTTAACTTTAATTCCTCATAACTATAAAAATATATCAAAGTTTTTTTTTTTAATCTCCAAAAGTACATTTGCATTAACACTATTTACAAACAATATACATTATGAATGACTCGACCTCTAGTAGCGAAGTGACTCAAAATAAGGTGCTATAA